TATATATACGTTTAGGAAATGACTGAACTACAATTGATAGGGGAAAATGGACTTCCTTTCCAAAGGTCCTAAGCTACAACTTGAGGAATGCCTTTGCAGTTTTATTGTGAATTCTTCAATTGATAGAAACCACAAAATACATTCACTGATATTAAACCTTACGATTTATTCTAATGACAGAAAACCTTACAAAAGGTAACCAATACGTCTTAATTGCGAATTTAATTAAATTTTTTTTTTTTTCAAAATCACACATATATTTATACGAAATATAAATGCCTTGGTAAGCCTGATGTGTATTTTTTGTTATTCACACGTATACGCCTCCATATGTACAACTCAATTTATACATTAATTTATTGTGCCTGGGAAAGATAACCGCACAACAAATGGATACAACATTTCTCAGTTGGTGTGTGGTAAATTTGTCATATTCAAATCAACACCTTGTAGACTAGCTTAACTAGCTTTGGGTGTGATAGAAAAAATACTTTTGAGATGCCTGTGCGACAAGTGGGGGTGGAAGTTCCTATTGGGGATGAAAGACCTTTGTGGGAATATGAATACGCCAGAAGGGAAAAAATCAATATAACCAAATCATGTTTTTTTTTTTTTTTTTTTTGCTGGCGACCCTATTATACAAGGAGAGATAACTTTTTCAGTAAAATTGAATGCGGATTTTTTTGTGAAATAATTCGCATTTCTAACTCGTTTCCTTGTGTGTCTCATAGAAGACCTTTAGATCCTCCCTTTAAATTTACCATTAAAACCCCTATATGTTCACTCGTAGCGGATCGATACAACTATTCATAGAAAAAAAATAACATTCTTGTAAACTATTTTACAATTGTTTTCATCTTGAAATGTATTTAAAATTCATTTAATTATGTATAAATAACAAGAAAACAATTAAATAATAATAAAAAGCAATATGAATTATTTTAGCAATTGCTTTGAATATCATAAAACCAATTGAGTGAATACGAACATATTTTCGAAGAGATTTTTTATTAATTTTTTGTGGTGCGAAGACAGGAGCTGATATAGGAGGCCATTTTTATTTTATTTTATTTATTTATTTTTATATTTTTTTTTGTATATGGGCAATATTGCCAATTTTTTAATATTCCATTTTCAGAAAATCAGCTTTTTTGTTTTTGTGGCACATCTATGATTTTTGGTACACATATAGAGAAAAATGTTCTGACTCCGAAACCGTTCGCGATCAAATTTTTGGTTGATGCGCGCAAAAGTTATCGAGGTTTTAATTTTGGGCATAAGAAAAAAATCTTAAAATTACGCCGTTTATTATATTGACCAAGAACGTTGATATATATCTTCCTCCGTAAAATAAGAATATGAATATATTATAATAATCACGATAAAGTTCCACATATTCGCGAAATATGAGAAAAATAAAAAAATATAGCAGATGACATCAATATTTTCATTATATTAATGGCATACACACACCTAAAAATTAATTTAAAAATATCTACATAATCTAAACACGATGGTGAATCAAATGATATCAAAATTACACAAGTCCGTGTAACGGTTTCTAAATCAAAGCGACAACAAAACAAGATATTAAGGAAAAATATTTGTTGTTGGTTTGAAAAAAAAATGTCATCATATTTACATATTTTTTTAATTGTATACAAGAAATTTCAGAAAAAAATGTTGGGGTTATTCTGTATTTTACCCGAATTTCGCCGAAAAATTGACATATAAAATAATAATCTCTTTTTGTGTATAAGTATACGCCTTGCGGTTTATATCAAGACCCTTCCGATAAATCTTAGAATTCTATAAATAGGAATAAATCTTAAAATAAAGTAATATTATGAAATATACATTTTAAATTGCGTGTAAATCGCGTAATTCTCAAAATCATTTGATGCGCATGCGGGTTCCAGGAAGTACTGAAGTTTATATTCCAATCCATATATATTTTGCGAAATTTTGTTTGACGGCTAAGATGTGCCACACGTTATATTGAAGTACCCAAAAAATCGTAAAACGCGAATAAATTCCGAAAACTCCATATGCCATTAACGCGCATCCGATTTCGGTGTGCACCCTAAAAAAATACATCGATCTATACCATTTCAATGTGGTCCATTAAGAACCAAGGATGTGCCAGCACAATCTATTTTTGAAATAAATGGCGTACATCTCTCTTTCGGCTGAAGTTTTTAAAGTTCTCTTCTCGAAAAAGATTAAAATCCGTATGAGGTCATTTATTGAAGCGGAAATGATACACAGAAAACGCAAATAAATCCGCGATATTTTCATAAACATTTTTTGCCAAATTTCGTCTTTTTGGAAGGCCAGTTCCCGCCGTTCTAGTAGATGGATTTTCACGAAGAAGATTTTATATCATCCGAAACGTAAAAAACCTTATTGATCGCGGGTACTCATATCATTCAGTTGACAGATCTAAAAATTTGGCCCGAAAAATAGGTTTTTTAGAAATTTGATCGCACAAAATTCGAACATTCGGATGAGTATTACTCTGAAGCTGTGCATACTACATACTCAAAATACATATCAAATTACGCAGATTCGCGACTACAATAATCTTATAATCGACTTTTATAAATTCCTGTTTGCGTATTAAAGCTAGAAGTAAAATTAAAAAAACACTCAAAATCGAGCTTCAAAATGTCAGCATCATTTAAAGGTAGATGTAGTTAAAATTTTGAAAAATCCCCATTTTGTTGGCATCTAGTTTTCTTTTGACACGAAGACTGTGCAATGAGTGGCTTAGTCACAAATCGATAGAGAACATAAAAAAACTGGTTCGCCTCAACCTGTTTTTACACATTTTTTTACATTAAAGTAGACACAGCTTCCACCAAAATAAAGTTTGGAGGTCAATATCATGAACAGTTTGCAACGACAGATCAATTAATCCAAAACTATTCACTTTCTTTCATATAATTAAGTAGTTCCCGAGTTATAAAGGGGTGAACCTCCGCTTCAGCTATGTTAAAAAATTGGCAATATTGCCCATATATGTTTTGAATCTAGAGCATGTTGGTTTTTCAGTATCCATAATCTTCATTGTACCAAAGCTGAGGACAGAATCTTTTTTAATTACAATTCAGAAAAAAAATCTTAGTTTCTGAGAATTACAATTGCATAACTATTTAATTATGTTTTCTTTCTTTTGCCAAGCACACATCTTTTTTTTATGAATTATAGCATTTTTCATTATGTGGACATGGTGGTGTATACATGTTATTCACACGCATACGCCACCCCCGAAAAATATATTGTTTGCACAAACACATGGCAACTTTTGTCAACTTTGTAACAAACATTTGTTATAACTGTAACATTTTCATAGTTTATCAGATAATATTAAAAACATCAAATGGACACCAAATTACCCAGCAGTTGCCTGGGAAATTACACAGAAGAGAATCAACACTTTGTAGATGAACTCAAGTGTTATACACAATTCTCAAGTATAAACAACAAGTTTGAATATCAACCATATATGAAGATGTTTGTATACAAAAAAATGACTGGGGATTCTTATGGCTAATGAAACTATATACATTTTACTACTGGAAAAATGTGTCTCGTCGAAGTAGTGGTTGTAAACACCAAGTTTGTTTAGACCCAATTTCTTTCAGACGATTTAGAGTCGATCTACGAAAGTCCATCCTCAGGTACAGGTAAGTACAGGTAGGTCAATGCCATTTAACATCGACAATACAAATTAAGGGGCATAAACAAATGAAAATTCGAATTCACAATATATATTTTTTGGGGGTTTCCCAGTCCCACCGAGGTGGTAATGGGCCTGATTTTTCGCTAGAATTTCGGTTCAGACAAGTGATCCATTCAAGGATCCAATTTATATAGTTGTTGATGATCGGCCGGCAGTTTTTATATCTGTTTTTTCTCCAAGTATTGGACACAAGTCTTTGCAGTGAAATTTACGACGAGAAGATAACAAAACCGCTGCAAATTCTCATTTGTTCTTCACATTATTAACTTTTTCCAAAAGCTTTCATATTTTTTTGTTTATTTCCGAATTAATGTCCCATAAAATTTTTAGCGAAAAGCAAAAAATGCACTCGTTTTGTGGATTTTGATCACAGGATTTTTGAAATTTTGTAGTTAATTTTAAGAATGAGCCTTAAAAGCGACTGTTGCAGGTTACACATTGTATGTACCCTGCAAAACGATGCCTTCTAGGCACACAAGTCCTGTCTTTCTCGGCAGCTCGCTGTACATTATAATATAAACCCCCTCCCCAAACCTGCAAATAACATTTCTCGTTTTTTGTTTATATAAAACTCTATTATATCAGTGGCTCCGGGTCATTTTTTCTCTCTAAAATTTAATCCACCACATGCTTATCACTTCGGAGAATATATTATGTCAAGGGTGTTTATGGCTTCTCAGTCTTATTAAAAATATTGCTTTTGCGTGAAAATATTTCTATTTTCTTCATTTTTTACTTTCTATCGATATATTGTTATCTTTCCACCCTTAGAATGTAATCTTAAAAAAAAAAAAAATGTGCCTACCTGAAATGTTATTTAAAACAATACAAAGAAATATATATGTAGGTATGTATGCATGTATGTATATCCCTGTTGTTGTTGCTTTCTTCAACGTAAAGTTCACTTCCACAAATTACTTTATAAACGTTTCTTAAGAAGTTACATTTAATAAATAACTTTTATTTCATGAATAATTTGCATTCTTTGTCTTCTTGTAGAATTGTTGCTGATGTTCTTGTCGTTGTTATATAAGACCAAGAGCAAAATCAACAACAACAACCATCCCCTTTAATTAACATCCCGATGATGCTTTATATCACAAACTCATTTGTTTTTCTCATGAATTTTAGTAATATCGGATATGAAATTGTTTTTGGCAAATATCTTTGTGGGAATTGTTGTTGCTGTTGTTGTTATTGCTATTGTCGGTTGTTGTTTGGTTGGTTGTGGGTTGTGTTTTGGTTAGCTGCTTACCTTGGGATACATTGCGACTCAACGAATCCATGCTGCCGCTCAAGCCATTTTGTGCGGTACGTTCGACTGAATTGAGGTCGGCAGAGCTTTCGTTGGGCTGCAACGTACGTGGCACATCCAAGATATTCCGTTGGGCATTGCTTTCGTCGCCCAATATTTGTGAACAATCCAAACCATTTGGAACACGTAGTATAGCCACGGATAAGTACATGTCCAATGCCTTGAAAGTGAGACACGTTATTGTTATTATTTTTCTGTCTTGTTTTGTATTCGCAAATATTTTCGCAATGATCGCCATTCAATGCTCCGCACGAGTTTCAATGAAATGAATACCAAAAAGGATTTCATCTAAATTCTGTTGTGAGCATTGAATGGCAACAGCAAAATGTTGGGCTACATCATCATGATGACAAATGAAAAAAAGTATTCTCCTGCTGAGATTTTGTACTGGTAATTCATTAGGGGCATTCGTTCTGTTTGATGTTTTTCTCTGCTCTCCTTTAGCCGGACCAGCAACAGCCAACTTACCTTGTGCATTATATTAAAGTATTGTGTTAAATCCTTGTGTTCACAGGTCTGCCAGTCTGCCTTGTAACCCATTAATAAAATATTTGGTTTTAGTTTGCCAATGCCGGAAGCCTGTTGAAAAAAATGGAGTTAATTTTGTATAGAAAAACATATTTCTCATTATTCAAAAATGTTGCCATCATGGCCCCGCAAAAAAATGTCTGTGTTTGGTTTTGTTAATACGCCCACAAGGTTTCAGTTTTAAAAATGTTTCAGTCATGGTTGAAATGTTAACTGGAAAACAAAACGTGCATATTTTAAATTGAAAAAATGTTCAATATTTTAGGTTATTTTTCGTGTTGTTGTTATTTTGATTAAATTATTTTCTCTATTTCTGTATTTGAGGAAAAAAAACATTCAAATTTCTGGAACCTAATGCTTCATCACAATATAGCAGTGTCCATCATATATTATATATAGTTTTTACTATATTATGTTTATTTTCCCATTGGAACATGACTGCGTATACATGTTGTTGGCACGTATACGCCACCCGGGGACACAGATGATTATTTTAAGTGTTTGCCTAAACACATACTAGCCAGCGATACTGTTTTAATAAAAATACTCAATTATTTTCTTTTATAGTTGGGAATATCATACAGTAACATTTCTTTGCAATATTGTCCAGTGGTTTTATATGTTATTCACATTGTAGATAAAGTGAAATGTTTACTAAATATACATATATGTGTATATACAACAAAAATATTTATTTATAATTACAAAACGTAAATTCGCATTATTAAGATGACCTTGTTTTTTTAGCTTCAATAGGTATATGAACGGAGGCATAAAATGATTCTAGTCGAATGTATAGAACATACATAATTTACGTGACTACAGAAAATTTGATTATATGAAGTTTTTTTTTTGTGATGTGTGTGTCCTTAAAAATAGGGTTCATTTAAATTGGAAATTTCGACATCCTTTTAAAGCTATCCAATTTCTGTTGTTCGATTATAGTTTTTCGAACTAATAACATATAAACATAACAATATATAATAGGACATGACATGTTCTTATTTGTCAAATGTCCAAATTCATAACATGTTTCAGACGACCAATGACAATGACAAGTATTGACGCGTTAAAAGGATTCCTTTTTTTGTTCGTTTTTGGGTTAGTAATCAGAGTTGCTGCTTCCCACGCAGCAACTCACACACATTCAGGAAATAAACATGAACCTGCAATTTTCCTTAATAGGCATGTCCTTCAGTTTTCCCCCGTTTTCTCTTTCATTATTTAGATGGTTAGTTTACCATCCCAAGGAATGCTTAATAAGGACAAATTTTCTTTGTATTGGCAAAAGCCGAGTGCACACATACACACGCACACACCAACCCATCCACACTAACATATTTAATTTTCTTGAGAATACAAACAAAACAAGCACACAATCACTACTTCAAACAAACGAACAAATCATTAGGGCAAACTTAATTTCGACAAATGATCATCATCATTAACAGAACAATAAACACAGACACACACACATACCCACACACATATATTGTTACTAACCTGCATTAATGCCCGGGAACCAGATTCAAAATCCTCACCATCCACTAATGAATAGAAACCTTTGACACGATGTCTGCGGAACCAAGTGGTGGCACGTTCCTGTAAATAGTTGCGATAACGTTGTGAGCTAGTGCCACGCAATACGTGACCGCAAACCATCAGCGATAAATTCTTCGTCAGCATATAGGCAAAATCGACCAAAACCGGACGCGTATTCGGCAGGCCGGAGAGTACCAAAATTTGCGGACGATAATTTTTAACATGCTCCTCAACGTTATTCAGCTGTTGTACAGAAATCAAAGCGTTCTTATAGGTCTGCGCCTGGGTGGTGGAGCCCCAATTGACGTCGGGCTTGCGGTAGGCTACGATTAAGTACAATGCCAATACCACAGCGAATGTGATCAAGGCGGTGGCCCACGATATCAGGAACATGACAGCGACACAGAGGATAGCACCCACGAGACTTAGCCACATGTTGTAGTACTGAAAACGGAATAAGGAATGAAGAAAATATTAACATAAATTAATGTACATTAGTGCAAAAATATGTGGATGTGTTAGTGGTACATGCAAGCTGGTGTTGCTGTTGTTGTTTTGTTCTTGTTGCTGCTGTTGTTGTGTGTTTGGCAAACAAGACACGTTTAATCTTCTCTCTCACATAAATGCAATAAAACATTCTTATGATGCCAAATTGTTGATACTGTTCAGGATAATTTAAAATAGAATGCTGGAAGGGATTGCTGGTTGGCATCCTAAACGATTTCTTGTTGGTATTGTGTATATACTTCAAAAGGGAATAGCTTTAACGGGTATTGTTTCACAGGAAGTTACAGTTAAGTGGGTGGTTGCAGCGCTATGCCATCGTCAAGACTTTTATTTGGAATTACTTACACGGAAAGGAATGTCTTATTATATATATCATATAGAAGAGGAAGCAATAATCTTCTATTAGAAAAATTATTAATTTTTTTATAAGCAGACGTTATGAAACAAAATTATGTGGGTTCCCTAAGAGATATTTCTTTATGAGATATTTTGACATTGAATGACAAATATTAGAATATCCTTATTTTCTATATGTCCGTCTTCTATAAATTATAATAAATATATAAAAAAATAAAAAATATAATATATTTTTACATATATCAAGACATATTATTCCAAAAAATGTCTATTGGTATATTGTATAGAAAGAGCTATTGGCTTTTGCTATTGTTTCATGTAAGAACTCTCATTTATAACACTGAATTTTTCATCCTAGGTCGGTCCTTATTGGGAAAACTAAATACCGATAAAATTACCCAACAATATCAATTTTGTCATACTAAACACATATTTTTCTATTAATACACATAAAATATTATATAATATATACATACATACATGCATGTTCCATATAGATGTGTATTATTACTCACTTTAAATGTTGGACGCCAGCCAACAGGCTTGGCTAAACTGGCATGGAATGTACTGAAATTGATTAACATGTAGGCGGCCAAAAAGAAATTCGATATTAAAGGAGCTATGAGATTTAGTTCGCCAATTAAAATAAAACTGAAATCACCAAAATGACAGGCGGCAGGCAGGAAGGACAACGAGGTCAGGCGGGCAGTCAGGCAAGGACGAAGGTTGACACAGCAACAGGGCCATTTGTTAGATTTGACAGAGCACAGCAAAAATAACATCAAAGGAAAATAAAAAAGAAGAAGAAGAAAAAGAAAAAAAATTGAAAAATTAATAACAATGCTTACATTGGCATTTCATAATAAGAAGTTAAGTAATTTCTTTAACAAGGACCAAGGCCAACAATAAAAAGAAACGAAAAGAAAAGAAAAAAAACTGTAACAAAGCAATTGAAGACTTACGCCACAGCAATAACAAATGTCAAAACATAACCACGGACCGGTTCATTATTTTTTCCGAAACCCTTGGCAAACCACACAATCTTGGGATAAAGTTCATCTTTGCACAAAGCCTGAAATAATAACAAAAACAAAATCGCATTTTTGCCCTCCATTAAATGTTCGAAACAAAAGTTTTAATTAAATGCAGTGTTCGAGCAAAAACTAAGTAAACATTTTCCAAAAGCCGCTTAAAGCTCAGCGGAGAAGATTTACGAAAAATAAAAAACGATGTTGAAATGCGAACGCCAGCCTTACCTGAAATACTTTTGGCGCCGATACCAAACTGGCCAAAGCCGATGAGAGTGTGGCAGCAAAACAGCCAGCATATATGAGTGGGCCAAAACCGGAGACTAGCTCAATGACTTGGAAGGAATTCGATAGACCATATTCGCAAGTGCCTGAAAAAAGAATGAAAAACAATGTTGAAAATTCCTTGTAAGAAGATTACAATTTACAAAAAACATTTTAATGCCAATATTCGTAAGTTGTTGCTGTTTATGTGACGAAATATTTTGCAAGGAAGAGACAAATCTGACTGATTTCTGATATCAACACAAGAACAAAAATATGGGATAATGTCCATCCACCTCCCAAATTCTTCTTCATGGCTTAAAAAGAAAACAATGTAAAGAGAAACAAATACCCTTAATAATGGATCAATAGTTATATTGAATGGTGTTATTTTTAGCTATTTGAGGAACTTTCCTTCTTCTTTTTCCAGCGATCAATGGGTTTATTGGAGATTATATTTGGAATAAAGAAACAGAACAAAAGAAACATTTTATCTTTACGGATGACCAATGGGGAGGGTCATATGAGGCTTTGTTCTTGTTCCATAAAAAGTATCTTTGGTATTTCATTAGAAATCCTTTTGATTTTCATTAAGAGGGCATTGATTCACGATAAGAATACTTTTTTATGATCCATTGGCAACCCTTTAATAAAAACTGAAGTTCGTCTGTAAGAAGAAGCGTCAAACTTATCTATAAGAAGATCTCTCAAGCTCATCTATAAGAATACCTCTCAAGTTCATCCATAAGAAGAGCTCAAGGTTTTCTGTAAGAGGACACCACAAGCTCTTCTATAAGAACACCACAAGCTTTTGGAGAAAAAGACCCCAACCACTTCCAAAAGAGGGCCTCAAGCTATATAATAATATTCCTGAAGTTCTTCAATAATAAGATATTTCAAGTTCTTCCATAAGAAAATAATTCAAGCACTACTATAAGCCAATCCCTCAAGTTATTTTATAAAGAAGATATCAAGATAGAGATTTCAAGTTATTCCATAAAGAAGCTCTTCTGTGAAGAAGAACCCAAACTCTTCTATAAAGAATACTTCAAGCTCCTTTATAAAGAAGACTCTTTTATACATACAACATTAAGCTCTTTTATAAATAAAACATCAAGGTCTTCTTAAAAGAAAAAACTGACTTGGCCTAAAAATCTTATGCATAGAAGGCTTCAAACTCTTTTATAAAGAAGACCCTAAGCTATCCAATAAGGAAGATTCTTCAATAAAAAATAATACATAAGAAATTTAAGCCCATCTAACATAAAACCTCTGCAGTTCTCCTTCAAAGGCTTAATCAAGCTGTTATCTGAGAAAACCTTAGGACCTTCCGCTATTTTTTGTATAATTTCCGCTATTTTTGTATCAGCTTTCCTTCGTTAACATTTCCAAACCTTCCCCACCCCCTTTTTCCCACCCTCTTTGCAAAATATTTTATATCACACTCTAATTAAATATTTATAAAGTGTAAAACAAAATCAGATTTTTGCATTCTTCCCTTTTGCCCCTAACGTCACGAATGTCACAATGTAAATAATATTCCACACTCACCTGGAAGGCAATCCAAAAAGGCAAAGGAGCCATTAACCATATCGGTGACATTGCCGGTGGCATCACGAGCAACAGTGCCGCCAGCCATTACAACCATTATCAAGTAAGTGATGGTTGTTATTAAAATTGCCAGGAGGGTACCCTTTGGAATGGATTTTTGAGGGTCCTTTAAACGCAGGAAGCATGCAAAAGAAGTGTCAGAGTTCGCAATAAATTTAAAAGCCTTCATTGAATAATGAATGTAAATTATACCTTTAAATCACCGGAAATGTTGGCACCAGCCAAAATACCTGTGGCGGCCGGAAAGAAGATGGCAAACACCGAAAAGAAATCATGAACAACACCTTTTTCGGGACGATAATCGGGAAAGAAATTCTGCTTGAATAAAGTCACTGCGAAAACAAGAACATAATTGGATTATTAAAATTCTATTAGATTTGGTGTGAGTGCGCTTGTGTGCGCTTCACTTACTGTTATAGCCCAGGAAACCTTTGGCACGTTCTTCATCACTTTTGGGTCCAATGAAACTGCCAATCATGAAATCAGCAATGGCCACCAACAAAATAACCAGCAGACCAATTTGTGCCTTAAAACAAAAAGGGCAATTGAAAATGAAAAAATGAAGGTCTGAGATGAAAAGTTGATTTTTTTCCTACTTACTTTGGCCTCCCATTCCATGCCGACCACCACAATTATCAGCAATATGAGAATGGTTACACTGCCAATAATGCGCACATCTTGTATGCCACCATCAACAATGCTGACATCCATGGAAAGTAATAAGTCCAGCATGGATTCACAGAAACCCACAACATACATGGCACAGGCCACAGCATTCGCCAGAGAGAATATCAAACCAATGGAACCACCAAATTCCGGACCCAGCGAGCGTGATATCATATAATATGTTCCACCTGAATGTCAACGAATAAAAGAAGAATGGATAAATGAATAAATATTTTTTTTTAATTTGTGACTAAATCTACAAATAAAGGATAATGAAGTAGAACAGGGATGAGAATTTACCAACAATTTGTATTAATAGATTTTCTTATTTTTGTAGTTAATTTATGCTGAAAGAAACGATAATGAAGTAGTGGGACAACTGATTTCATACAGTATTCAAATAATCGCATTTTCATTCAGTTTTAATACCAATTCCAGTTATTGTCATATTAACGATCTGCCCACTTATCTGACGTTATTATCCTGTTGTTCATTTACAGCCTATTGTTCTTGATAATTTCTGGACCAAGTTGGGTATTTTGGGTTGTTGCTTCTTGTTTCCTTGTTTGAGAAAACAAAAGCGAAGGAGACCAATAGAGCCATTCACATTTTACATGTATGCATGTAAATGGTAGGTGTCCATCTGGGAACAATGATCCTGTATTGCCTAGAGGTCGATTATAGATGAGGATGTATGTATGCGTGTGTGTGTCTCATGCATATTTCGCAATTTGCTTTACAATGGGCCAATTGATGAATACCCAATACGAAACAGGGTAGTGGGTATATGTTTGCCCATCAATCACGGCAAAAGGCAACATTTATGATTGATTTTATTTCAAGGAAATTGAACAGGATAATTGTGGATATTTCAGAGGACTCTAGATTGATGCATATTTCGGATTTCCCTGCACTAATGTGAACACCTATTTTCAAATCCTTAACTATGTTGATTCGACTTCCACTTGGTCGGATACTCAATGCGAGTGTTTTTAAATTTGGTTAAATTTTGTAATGAGCTTGTTGAGGCTCTGAGGACCATTCCGCTTTGTTGATCGTTACGTTCTGCTAACGTGCAGCAAACACACTTCGTTAAAAATAACAGGTACACTGCATGTTGTATCCTCGGCATATCTGGGATGTATTAGTCCAAGAATGTATGACGTTCACAATAATATTTGAACTTGATCCGCTATATTCTATATTGCGGTCCGAAGACATAAAAATGATTTAGCTTCGGCATTAGAAAGAAAAGGGATGTGACTTCTTATACTTTACCCAACGCAAATATATTGTCAGGATAGACGTTTGAGAGGCCCAAAGATTTTTAACGTCTCTATACGTTTTAGGCAGCGGTTATATTGCCACGAAATGTAGGCTCGGTTTTGAACTATAGTCTAGGACCAAAACTATTTTTTTGTATGATTTTTGGCAATGCTCTAGAGGCCACAATAATGACCCGAACAAGATGATCGTAGATAACTTTTTTGTGAAAAATAACATATACTCCATATTATGGTGTATATGTTCACTCCGAAATACATGATCCGGAAAAAGTTGCCTGTACATAAAAGCTAATATTTAATCGAATATATGTCGTTTATTTTGAAAGTGGTTTAAGTCTATTCTTCCAATATTAAGAAACCACTTAAACCACTATCAATATAAACGACTTTTTTTTGATATTCTGTGATGGATATGGGAGATATTCTGAACTATGTAATATATTACCGTTAACGCAGGGGACTATGCAATAATGATTGATTTAGCTCAGCAACAAGTGCAATTTGAGCGGTGTGGTCGGTCCCGTCCAACTGTACTGATTTAGTTAAGTAATCAATCAAGGATTAATCTATGTTCTACCGCTCGGCTATTCGATTTTATATAATTTTTTTTCAATAAACATCCTACACTCATTTTCATGTTGTGTGCCATTTACATGAAATTCGACGACTTGATACTAACTGTTCGCATGATATACTGGACTCAGTAAACTTTCGCGTTAATCGACACACCATTAACTAAAAATCTGATGAAAATATGTGTGAGAGCTGTTGACCGATTTGAACAACAATTAAAACCCGCCATTCCAGTATATTCAGGTTCAGTGTCTTTAACAAGCCATTTACTTCACATTTCAAAAAATAGATTTTCTTGAGCCTTAATAACTCAGTCAGCCTTTAACCACACACACACAAATTGATACCCTTTTAAATCGCATCGTTAATTCCGTCATATGGTTGCCTAACATTTGACATATTTTAATTAAAATATATTCACTTACCTCCTTTTATGACACCATTGGTACTAATTGCTGACATCGACAGAGCCGTTATGCTGGTCACAACTGTTGTGGTTAGAATCAATATGAAACCCTCCATAATGCCGGCTTGGCCAACCACCCAACTGAGACGCAGGAACAGCATAACACCCCAGATATTTAAAAGGCAACGCACCAGGACACCTTTGATCCAGCCAAATTTCAGCATGCCATTACCAGCGGCAGCACCAGCCTCCAGGTCGTCATTGCGATTCAAACTGTGAGTATTCTATAAAAAGCAACAAAAACAATAGGCCAACAAAAAAAATGAATTTTATTCAGTGGGATATTCAATGTTTTTCCCAGACAAAAAAACACTACAACTTTTTATGTCGCAACTTTTTTGTAGAGATAGGCAGGTATTTTGTTTTATTAACTACGCGGAAAAATACGTAACAACTTTCTCGGCGGCTTTGATTTTTCACCATTCATTACCGGAATAACAGAACAACCATGAGCGAAATTCACGGAACAGGATTGTGTTATGGAAATTGTGCTGACACAGAGCACACAAAGAATATCCAACTTTATGTTACGCAGGATATAAACCAAAAAGCATGTTTCATATAATCCTGTTTCACATTCGAAAACGTATAGAAAATGCCTTTAATCCTTTGGTGTATAAAAAATGAATAGATTTGAATGGATTTTGAGAGCAAATAAAGTAAATTTAACCTGTACAGATTCTACTTTATTAAAATAACATTTATAAATTTTCGTATAAAATCATCGCATTTGGGGCTCGGGTAACCCATGTGTTATTGTTGTGAAGCATCTCCATCCTAAAGATGCTACGGTTTGATTTGTGGTCTTTCTCGAAATTATGTTTAGTTCAACAGTTGCGGTGACTGGATTTCCTTTTTTATTGAAACATTTCCAGACCGTTTTTCCTCTCGCAGAGATGGTCTCTCATGTAAATGATAAGATCTACGCCAATGCCCTGCCCCGATACGGAATTCGTGGAAGTATCGAGGACGGACACTTTGTGATTGGACTATACACAATTTTATTTATGGTCCCATAAGTGTGATAGCGATGTTCATTTGGCTGATAATATTCTTCATTATTAACGACATCGTATTTTAAAACACTTTATGAATATTTGAACCATAAGAAAACATTTTGTAGCGGTAACATGTAATTTTCTGACTTCAACTCTTCTTAAAATCGCATATATTTGTCAGGCAGACGCTTTAACACAATTCCATAGCTTTAATAATATAACGCATGAATGCGTTTAGCTTTTGAGCTTTCAACCAAATTGTCTTGGATTTTTAGGAAGGAATGATCTAATAAACCAAAACCCAGAATACACAAAAATATTACATCACAACAATATATCACAACTCATGCTGAGCGGTAGCTCATTCAAAATTACGCACACCTTTGTTGCTATGAATGAAATATAAAACGAAAATTTCATTCATGTATGAAGAGAACGAACATATGAGACATTTCACGAAAAGACGGCACAGAGGCCTCGTTCGACTATACTACTCCTTAACAATATATTTGCAGAATATCACAAATATTACTCCATTATTTGACATTTATTTCTTCGGATAAATCGCCATAAGTTCTGAAATACGACCCGATTTCTTTGCGGACTTATTACATACGAAATGTCTCGGACATCAATCAAATATTTTTCGGTACTGACGTCTACCATACAAATCATACAAAAACAAACAAGAGCAAACACAATGGCCAAAAAAAATTTAATGGTGTAAATGAAGTCAAGTCATGTTAACACAAAAAAACAAAAACATGTTAATATAAGTCAGATTTTATGTACACAAATTCCAAAACTCCATGCTCCCTGCAAACATAAAATTTGTTGATCCTGTAATAAGTCAAGTCACATGCCATAAACTACATACTTATGGCTACCGCTATATGTATATACATATAAATATATGTGAGAAGCAAAGATGGAGGCAACCAGGTAAAGCAATTTATTTTTACAAATTACAAAATCCAAAAAGTCGGTACAAACTTAATTGCTTTCTTCGCCCATTACCCAATAAATCGTACATGGCTATACGGCAGATCTCCTTCTTTTTCTCTTCCTTCTCTGCTACACGATTCTCCACCTACCGTTGCCATTTCTCACATTACTTATGTAAGCATCCGGCCATGGCCTTTATGACAACTTAAATATGCAGATCAACTGAACTAAATTAAATTAGACGACAAAGTAATTGGGGAGAGAGATGGAGAGAGCTGGACTCTAAACAAAGGTGCTATTTGGTTATTGTGGTGGCCAAATGGGAACATGATGTAAATTGAGTGTGGCTGTTTTTTGTGGAACGTTGATGCTGTTACTGTCTATTTGGCCCATGCAATTTCAGAAGAAACAACAATAATTAAATACAACAGCAATTGTAATGCAATACCCAGACTCTTGTCATGGGAAGGAAATGCAAATCGTCTTTGTACTTTGATACTGGGAATGAAAGTGGAAATTAAATTTGAATTGGGGTCACCAAAGGGACGTTAGGGTTGACATCTATATAATAATTGAAATAAAATTCTGGAATAAGGACTTATTACATCAGATGTTCGATACATCAGATGGTGGTCATTTAAAATACATTAAATCGATCTAAAACTGTATATATTCCAGACACCCAACATATCGAAAATTAAGCGGAGACTTTGTATGGCAACTATGTGAAAGCATATATAACATTACTTCAGAATATATTTTTAACGACCAAACGTGGATTTTTTATCGGTTATATTTTCAGCGATCATCCGAAATCTTGTTAAAATATATTTTTTCAAGAGCCATTCGAGTTTGTGGCTTCATTTTAATATATTTCATAAAAGTAACTTCCTCGCCTCTTAGTTGGAAAGACAAAAAAATGCCATTTTCATTCATGCTCCATTATGTTTGAAACATCAACAAGACTTGGTTGAACAATTGCAGAGAAATTTAAATCTCCCCAAAACTGTCTCTTCATTTGAATGACATAAACGTCTGCAGTTTAGTTTATGTCATTTACCAAATCCAAAAATGGTACAAGGACTGCCAAACTGTATAACAAGTATTCATCACGTTTGAAAAACAAATTCCAAGACTGAGCAGTGTTAAGTTAAATGTCTGGTTATAATAAAATGCAAAAGATTTCTTGGAAATTTTGTACCACCTCCGCTAGAAATTGCAATGTGAATATTTCTTCAAGGTCGAATTGTTATAGTTCGCAATATTTTTGAAGGCCAGAGAGAGCATGATGCCTAGGTATATGTGGGGCCAACACCAAATAGTCTTTGGAGATCATATTTTATATATACACAATTGACATCAAAATAAAATCTGAAGCGACCGTAGAAGCTTTAAGACTTAAATCTGTGAACAAGTGGATCGCCAACGGAAACGACAGACCGAAACTGATCTGTCCAAAAAACATAAATAATTTCATGCGTCACGGTCATATGGAATAATAGGAAATGAGATAGAAATCTACTCGGCAGAAGTGCAACTGACCAGTCTACATTTGATGTGAATAACGCCGCCAAACCTTTTAGCGCAACACGTCTAGAACTGGGGTCATGGAAAAAGAGAACCACAAAATGCTTTGGAAGTGATCCAAATGAAGATTAGACCAAGCATATTTTAATGTTTAACCAGTTATTTTCACAGGACACAACATCCTGCATGCACATTGCCACAAGATTATGTGCGAGGGAAACAGCTGGCGTAGAGCGCATCGGGAAGATAGCAAATATTTGGAAAATTACCTAATTTTTTCATATTGACTAAATAAGCGATCTAAGGGGGCGTGAATGGTAAATACTGAGGACAAATAATTCAACAAGTTTAGGGAAACCAAGAATGGGCATTTCATTGACAGGTATATGTTCTAGCAGTGTGTTCTTGGTGGGTAAGAAACTAAACCCATTTAATGTATACTCGGGGTCCTTGGGGTATTTTCTAACCGAAATTATTGTAGCTTAACATCACGGGTTCTTGGAGGATTGATAAAACTTTTTGGTAGATTTTGTTTAACCCTTTGTGGCCCAAAGTTGCCCAAGGGCAACAAAATGTTTTAGAGCTTATATTTAGTATGCAGCTAGTAGATATATATTATTTGGATTTCATATGTCAAAATCTGATTATGGTAGACACATATAAACAAAATTCAAATTTTTGTGAAGTTATGAGTATTTCAATATAGAGAAGAGAGTAAATTTGTGTAGAGTACTAATTTGTGTATACATCCAAATTATTTAAATCGCTTCGTATTCAAATTGTACGAATTCTGCCATGAGAATGATTTTTGATTCTTGAAAAATTGAATATGGAGAATAATTTAAAATGATTTTTCTGTCGATTTTGAATTTGGTTTTCTTCATATCGGACTTTAATTTTTCAGATAGAATGTACTGTATTTCCCGAATGCAAGGATGTAGCGATATCAAATTTTGTGCATATCCTATTTAGGATAGTTGCATTAAATCTGTTTACAGAAATTTGTTCTAAGATTGTGGAAAAAATTCGGGGCTCAAAGGGTTAAACATAGGTCGATATTTAGAATTTTTTCAATTTTATGTATGTTAATGAATATCAGAGGATATAAGACCAGTATTAACATAAAATCAATAAAAATGACACAGACAATTTTTGCTTATATTTTTAAACTTAAGAATCTGTGATCCAGACAGGCTAGTTAAAATGGCATAGAAATATGCGGATCGATTTTAGTTTTGTTCGACCCAACTGAACTTAACAATGTTTTTACTCATTTAAATGTCATGTTTCCCGAAAATAACAGGATTTGGAAAATTTTGGTTCCGACCTAATGTAATTTTTACTACCTTTACTACATAAGTAGATTTTCTATCGTGTTCTGGTACATGACCGCACATTGTATAGACTAAAAAGGTGTAAAGGTGTGTGAGTGAGTGCATACTATTACAATGGTGTTGTACACAGTTATTTAGGTGAACTCACATACATCTTTCTTACTGGGCCACATTTTGTTGTCAAAATTCGATTCTAAAATTAGTAATACCAGGAAATTGCATATTTCGTAATTCCATGTTAAACAGTTTTTCAACATGTCAGTGTTGCAAGGATGCAGTGAAGTGAATGGGGAAGGAAGGGTAAAGGGTACTACACCCATGAATGGAATTGTAAACATGGAATGTCCTTAATAGAGAAAGGTTAATTAGTAAATGTTCGAATAGATGAGAAATGACAACCCTTCTTAAGCCCACTTACAAATATATATACTTGAGCAGCTTAATTTACGAAAAAAAAAATTCTTAACATGGATTGTTTCCTTTTTTTGTCTTTCGACAACACAACCAAATTAATCTTCTTTGTCGAAAGCAATCTAGCCGATTAACTTTGCTATTTGATTTAGAAGTTTTTGCTTGAGCATTAAGCGAAATCATAAGTCCAAGAGATTTCAGCAAAAAAGAAAAAACTTTATGAGAAAGAACAAATATGTAACAACAAGTAAGAAAATCGTAAAATTCGGTAGTAGCGAACTTTTTATACCCTGCACCATATGGTCCGGCATTCACCATACCTAATAGCGCTATGCCACGATAAATGACAACGAGGAGTCATTTTATTCTGCGAACGAAAATACAAATTTTGATTGGACAATTTGGCTGGGATCATTAACATGCCGAAATCGTGGCGGAAATTTATATGGCGTCAAAATTGGGACTTATAATGGAAATATCTTGCAAATATGTCTTTAAACCTCTAAGAAAATGCCATTACAGCCCCTTCAAATTAAAAATGCGTGTAGAACTCTATACATCTATGTTGTAAGGGTATTATATGTTTTAATGGCCTCAAGATGACGATCGGCGGTGTCGTCATATATATCTTAGCTGAATCGGCCTAGCTATGTGTGTCACTTCGTCCTTCAGTCTATTATAATTTGTAATGAAAGCTCAGACCAATCTTATTTCTTATTAAATTTTCCATATAGGTCCTGTCCGGCCAAGATGACTCTTTTTGGTAATTTTTAGAGAATAGATTTTAATTTTAAAGAAATAATAAAACATCGAAATTGCTGAATGACAAATTACAGCTCTTTTGATTAGAAAATGCCGATAGAACCTTAAAAACCCAATTTTAAATACCCTTTCTTTTAGGTTTAGTAGCAACATACGTTCAAAAGTTCCTAGCTCTACGAAATAAAATTTTATTATGATCAAGATTATTTCAAGATATTGCAAACGGAGTGACATACTTATTATACACCCCACCATATGGTATAGGGTGTAGAAATCTCGAACATTTATGTTATGCAAAAGCTAAAGGCCATAATTATTTTTAATGTTGCACAGATGACGATTGTCTTTTTGTTGTTCTAGAAAACACGCTACATGACTTTCTACTTAGCATTGGTGGCATATTGACATTTGGCCTTGTAGCACTTTAGCAAAGGGACAAAACTTTTTTCCTTATGAAGCAAAATCAAAAAACAAAATAAGGAAGGAAGGAAGGAAAGAAGCAAACAAAAACAACTACTAAATTGAATTGCTCTCATCAAAGGAAGCAAGCAACAAAATATTGACTTTGTCATAGTATTGGTATTTCATACCTCTAGTTCGTAATCCTCCTCCTCCTCCTAAAGTTAGCAACAATTTATTAATTTCTAATATCAAATAAATCCTTCGGGCCCTAGTAATTAATGTTGTTGTTTCGTACTACTTACCTTTCCGGTCAGGGTGGCATTATGCAGCTCATCTAATGTGGGTCGATATGCTGCCTGTATTGACATGATGTTACGATAATTATCCAGGCGTGGTAAGGCTTCTCGTGTGAAATGTCTGTGGCGAATAGAGAAACAGAAATGATTTTTAATTTTCTCTATTCACATTGTGTGTAACGTATGTGTGTTTGTATGTGTAAACTTACCGAAAACTTTTGCCATACTTTGTGTCATATTCATTATCCAAAAGTTCGCGATCTTCATTTGAATCATCGGAATCCTCATTTTGTGGTTCTACTTGAAAGCGTGTGGTTTGTAAGTCCTTGAAACGCGATGGTTTATCTTTGTCACGAAAACTACTCTTGATAGATTGTCTATAGGTGGGCGGGTGAAAAGAAGAAGAAGAAGAAGAGATAATACAAAACAAAACATAAAAATTAGAATTCAAATTAAAAATGAAATGTCAAAGTATATAAAAAACGACACACATAAAATATTAAAACAAAACAAAACAAATCTCAATACAAAGAAATAAACGAACGAACAGACAAACAACAAAGCCATAAATAGCAGATGCTATCAGAAAATTTAAAAACAAGAAACAACCACGGGTTTGGTTTGCAAGACAACAAAGAGATGAAATCGTAAAATTGTCATAAATATGATATTTGTGGTTGTGGCAAAGGATTTCTAAGAGGACACCAAGGTCTTGAAAAAATACAAATATGTTTTTAAAGACCTACAACACTCTGTAACAACAGATTATTTAAAATACACAAAAATTCGATTTTTAAATAATATCTAAAGAGTAGACTAAAAAATAGAATTATTTTCAAAAATATATATTTTTAAAAACTTCGCCCGTCCATACTTGTTAAATATATGTATATATTTTTAAAGGACTATCTATTTCTTTATCTCTCTAAGCTATAAAACTTTTTGTTGACTGTGAAGAGAATATATTTTTTTAGAAATATTAAAAAACCATTGAGCGGAGTAGTATAGTCGGACGGGCCGACCATATGATGACCTACACAGCTTTCATGGAAATCTAACCTTCTGTGGTTCTATATTCCAAGCTTGGGCAATATTTCGAGATTTTTGCACCCTCTTAACTGACTAGAAGTCAACAAATATTACTAGTATTCAATACAGATTCCCTTCAACATGGGTTGTGTTGTGATGTTCGGCTTTCAATTGTGGCCTATAGATTCGAAAAAAACACACACACAAAAATAAGTTTTTGGTCCAATTCATCTTAAAATTATTATTTGATCATCACCGAAAATTATAGACGTTGTTCTTGACCTTACCTGGATCCTCATGAAAAATTTCAAAGCGATCCGCGCTATATTTCCGGCCTTTACGTATTCATATATTATTATTAAAAATATATGAATACGTAAGCACCTTTAAATATTTAAATGTAACTCCCACATCCGAGTACATGCGACAATAAAATTGATATCAATTTAAAGGTCAACCACTCCTCTTGGATATATTATGGACTTCTCGTGTCTATGTGTAAATATATACGCCATAGAATAAATTTTTTTCATTGTTCACAAAAAAAATCGGCTTTATTTCACCCACTAAATATTGACCGATCTTTATCAAAACAGGTATGTTTATTCTTTGGCCATGTCTAGATCGACTCAGCTAGTCGATATGTAACAATCGGCATACTTAAAGGTGGGTCTAGGACTAAGATTTAGCGGCGTTAAATGCTATTGGGGCTGCACAAAGCTATAATGCCCCGACAACATTGTTATGTAGGGTATAAAAATCGGACTCTTATATGAAAAAACGAAATTTTAACTTTGTTGATTATAAGATTACTACGAAATGACATAATCGCCTTCGTAGCTAAGAAGAGTGAGAAATGATTCGTAAATCCGACAGACAATAAAATGGTTACACCATAGGACGTTATATTAAATAAGAAGAAGTGGAAATGACGTTGTTTCCTCTAAAAAAATAGCATTTTAATTAGAAGATGTCTTCATCTATTTGGTCTTCCAAGGATAATGGTTTTTTCCAACCAAAAATAAAATAATTTTATGGCCGTAATAATAACATGGAAAGAATGTTACAAAAACAAGCAAGGAAAATAGATAATGACATTTTTATGAGCCTAACGATGTGCGGTAATGACAAATGTGAATGTTATGTGATGTCGATTGAAAGAAATGTCACTGGAAATTCATTATCAGACATTCGGACACAAAAAGCCTCATATGAGACTATCTATTACGCCTCTTATGAGCTTTTTGTGTTTTACTATTTTTATGTAGCTTTTGGTAGTTTAAATGGTCTCTAAACATTTTTTTTCATGTAGCTATTCCAGGACAATCAGTAGTTCCCCCAGAAGGCGGTTATAACCACCTAAACATGCATTTGTTTTTAGCAATGTTTTTTTTTATTTCAATTATCAAAAGTAATTGTCAACGTCATAAAAATCCGACCCATAATAAAATAAATTTCGCAATGGAATTTCTTTCATCAGCTTAATTTCAAAAACATTAATCAAAAGCAAAGACGTCATAAAAGAAATTAGAAAATCTTCCTAATCCGTTGAAGCAACGGTGAACAGGTGTAAATGCGCTCCAAACAATTTTTAAGAAACATTTTCTTGACTTAGATTTTGGCAAATGGAATACAAAAGTTTGAAAAAAAAACCAAACAAACACAAAGTTTGTTGCCTTAATTACATGTCACTTTCAAAGAGAAGAAAAAAGGATGCCTGTCCTTTTTTGTGCAGCAGCATGTTGGGTGGAGTATGGAAGTAGATTCAATTGTTTATGTTGTGGAAAATGAAATTTATTATAGGGCCATTAAAATTTTAATGCTTTCTGAAGAGATTTTCTGCAAGATTTGTATTTTTTGTTTTTCCTTTCTGTTGATTGGTATTTTTTTGGAATTACAACAAAGTGCAATAAATAATAAAGAGAAAACGCAAAATAAAACAAAATATTAATAAAAAAATACATAAACAGTTATTAGTATTTAGAAAGAAGAAGAACCGGTTTACTAAATCTTTGTACTAGATGTTCAGATAATAAAACCGATAAAAGTCCGGTACAATAAATTTAGCACGTTTTTTTACTAGATTTCTTATAATATGCATATAAGGTGTTGAAATCGTTTCTTATTATCTGAATATCCGGTTCAAATATTTAGAAACCCGATTCTTTTTCCTCGAAATTTAATTTTTTGACGTATTTGGCTTAAGTAAATATGATTTTAGAAGACAAGTCGGACGAGTCCGACAGTTCTACATACTATGAAATGTATAGAGAATTTATTGAAAGACATACATACATAGAGTAGTAGAATATTTCGAGGATAAATAATCGCACCTTGTGATAATTGGAGTGCATTTCAATAAATTAAAGAAGAAAAGGACACACAAGGAATCGAGTGAGAAGGACGAAATGTTTTTAAAAAGTAATTCCTCATACAATTTTACTAACCCGCCAACACTACTGAAGTTGTAGACGAGGCACGGTCATACTGTTTGGTTTATTGCTTTAACTAGCAATGCCAACAACAACGTTATGTGCATTCGTCACAAAGTGACGACACATAGCAGTGGGAAATGTATTGTAGTTGTATGTAAATGCCTTATTGACCACGATTTCAGGCGCCAACGAAACGAACTTCTCATTGGGGTATATTACTGGTAACGTAAGAACTTGAATTGTCACAAGAGACATTTGGGTATGAAAGGCGTTTTTGTGTAAAGAAGTAATAAATAGCCTCTGGGAAGAATATCCCAACAAAAAACTAAGGGAACTATGAGGATCAGTGTCGAGATCCGAAACTATAGTCTTCCCTGCCTTACCCCTTACTTTACAATGCCATACATTCCCCACTAATAAATAGTTGTTTTTTATAAAAACAACAAACTGGGATTAAGCCTGACTATTTTGCAAAAACAAAGTATTTGGAAATGTAAATATATTATCGTATAGAATAATGGGGAATGAAAATTTCTCTTTGGGTTGGAAGACCTTTGTGGATATATGAAAACCACACAGGGAAAAATTCACCGTAGGTCAAAGTTCGGAGATATAACTTTATGTCACAACCACCTAAAATCTTATGAGAAAGATTTTTGGAGAACAAGGAATCGAGTTAGAAGGACAAAATGTTTTAAAAAATAATTCCTCATACACTTTTACTGTAGAAATATAATCAAAAAATAAATAAATATGGGACAACTGTCACGAAATTTGGCAAATAATTAACATCTCGTTTCAGTGAAAATTAAAGTCCAGTAGTTGTGTGAGGTATGGTATGCGCAATTCGAAAACACTGCTGCGCTCACTGGTTAATATTCGCTTTCTATCAAAACATGGCTCATTTAAAATAAATATAATAATTGGAAAAAAATATTTTTTAAAAAATCCAAGACTTCAAAAATATTTTTATACCTTAAACAACTATGTTGTCAGGGTATTATAGTTTTGTGCAGCCCCAAAAGTTTGTAACGCCGCGAAATATTGACCCTAGACCCACCTTTAAGTATACCGATCGTCATATCTCGACTAGCTGAATCGATCTAGACATTTGTGTCCGTCCGTCCGTCCGTCTGTCCATTATAATTTGTAAACACGATACAGGCCACAGTTATGGAAAAATCTTCACGAAATTTTGCATGTAGAATGGGTTCCAAAAACTTTATTTTTGTCGGTTTTTCTGGTCGCTCCAGAGGCCGCAATTATGGCCCAAACACCACGAATTTTTGCATGGAGAAGGGGATCGGGCCAAATAATAAGCATACCTTTTTTGATAAAGATCGGTCAATATTTAGCGGGTCAAATGGACCATGACTTTTGTTTGAAAAATGACAAAATTTGTATTCTATAGCGTATATATTTACCCATGGAGAACAAACATCCGAGAAGTTGATAGCATATCCAAGAGGAGTGGTTGACCTTTAAATTGATACCAATTATATGGTCGTATGTACTCAGATGTGGGAGTTACACTTAAATATATATAATATATAATATTATTTAGTAACCCATTACCACACTGGAGGGCGGAAATATAGAGCTGATCGCTTTGAAATGTTCCACGAGGTTCCAGTAGTGGTCAAGGACAACGATTATAATTTTCGGTGATGATCAGATAATAATTTTGGGATGAAGTTTTACCGAAAACTTATTTTTTCGAGTCGATCTATTACAATTATAAACCGAACATCACAACGCAACCCACGGTCAAGGGAATCTGGACAATGAATTGTAAGGACTGTACTGAATATTAGTAATATTCGGAAAATATGTCAGTGTAAGGAAGAGGTGCTGTTGACCTCTAATCGAAATATTGCCAGACTCGGAGTAAAAATCCGCAAAAAGTTAGATTT